CCTGAGATCGAGCCCCACATCAGGCTCCCTGCTCCGCGGAAGGCCTGCTTCTCCCTCTCCTACTCCCCCTGCTTGTGTTTCTGCTCTCGCTGTCAAATAAATAAATAAAATCTTAAAAAAAAAAAAGGCAATGATAAATGTAATTATCTTGATAGTTCACATCATCATTTGTTAGATGCACTTCTTTTCCTGCTGACTTCTCACCGTATTTTTTTAAATTGTACAAAACAAAAAACTTTTATATGAGCATATTTTAAAACCCTCATTCAATCAAAAAGTGATACTTGCTCATGACAAAAAATTCAGGCAATAAATGCATACAAAGTAAAAACCTCCCTACCATGGCAATCATAAAAAACTAAGGTATAATCTTTCAGACATTTTCTACACATATAAAATTATTTTTTAAATGGATAAGCATATATTTTCTCTTTTTATACAAATGGGGCCCTCAGTTTGCCTTCTTGATAGATAACATACATGGGCATCTTGTGCCCTCAGTACACAGACGTTTCCCTCACTTTTACTCTAGTAGCTGAACAGTATTCATGTACAACAGTCTGGGATCACCAGCCCACTCCCACCTACAGATATGTGTGCGTGTTCATGTGATCTCTGCACACGAGTGGGGTTATTTCAGTCAGATACAGAGCTGCTGGAAAACTGGTACACATTTTAAATGGGACAGCTACTGTCCAAGCGCCCTCCAAAGAGGTTGCACTGATTATGCCCTCACCCACAGTCTATGATAATGCCCTTTTATCGCCGTCCTTGCTAAATAGTGTGTGATATTGCACAGCTAATTCTAGTCATTAAAATTCTGCAGTGAGTGAAACCAGAATTCTTTCATCAGAATTGATAAGGGAAATACTCAGGAGGCATAAACCTTTCAGAAAGCTCAATAATGTTTGTGAATTAATTATTTCCAGGTTAGATAAACACCCAGGGGTCAAATTAGTTTTCTTCTAATAATAACCAAGTATTGTTCTGAAATTATAAATTTTATCTTTTGGACATCTAATGTCAGAAAATACTAAAATTCTTTCACAGTAAAGGCATAGCAGAAAGCTAGTTTTGTAGTCTGTCCAATGGACCAAGTCCTGCTCTGTCACTGAGCTTGATCAAGTAATTCTCTCTCTTTGACTACCCATCTACCAAATGAGAGGAGATCTATTTTTTCAGGCTTATTTTAAGGATTAAGTGAAATCTGATACTAAAGCACTAACTTCTGGCATGAAGTAGACTTTCTTTTTAATAAGTTAGCTCTTTCCTCAAGTTTTAACATTTGCATGCCCATTTTATAAAGAAATTCATATTCAGATTTATGACATTCAACAGAAGCAAATTACATCCAAGAGTCACTGAGTACTTATTGCTACACTAGGCACTGGGAACAAAATGATGAATAAGACATAAGCCCTACCTTAAAGGAACTCATGGTTCAGTAAGGGGAGATGGACATGAGACAACAAAGTGCACCAAAGTGTCAACATCAGTGCAAAAGGAGTTTGCCAAGAAGGGTGTGTGATCAGCCCTGGTCAGGCAAGTATCACGAAAAGGCATCTGCTAAAAAGACTAGTGATAGAAGGTTGTTCTAAGTGTGAGTAAAGGCTTGTAACTACGATAAAGCAGGCTTCACTCAGGGATTATGGTTTGGTAGAGTTGCGACGTTTGGGGAAAACAACTGGGAGAGGAAAGTAATGGCAACAAAACAATAGAATATATAGCAGGGAAGAACTCAGAGCGCATGCTGCAGAGCCAGGAATACACTGTGGGATATGAAGCTGAAAAAGAGACAAGCTCCTATTCATCTTTTTTTTTAAAGATTTTATTTATATATTTGAGAGAGAGCGAGAGCAGGGGGGAGGAGCAGAGGGAGAAAGAGAAGCAGACTCCCCACTGAGTAGTGAGCCAGACATGGCGATTGATCCCAGGATCCTGGGATCATGACCTAAACCGAAGGTAAACACTTAACTGCCTGAGCCATCCAGGTGCCCCAAGCTCCTATTTATCTTTTATTAAAATCATACTGGCAACAAGAAGAAGGATGAACTCAAAGAGTACAAGACTGGAGCCACAGAGAACTAAAAAGGTGTGGCAATGGTTCATGTGAAAAGAACAGCCTGGGCTGGGACAGTATGAGGAAGAGAGACAGAAAAGCACAGAACAGTGTTAAGGAATTACAGTGGAGCGGTGTCTTGGCACACCAGGCTGAGGTGAAAGCTGGACAGACAAGGACAGAAAGAGGGGAAAGGGCAAGTTTCTGGCCCAGGCAAGTGAGTCAAAATGAAGACAATCTTGTGAAGAACCAGTGAATCATCCTGTTTTATATAAAATATTTTTTTAGGAGAAGAATTCTAGCCAGGGATTAGGAAGAACTGAAAACATGGGCTTCAAGAACACTCAAGACATGTTACTTAGGGAGGCTCAGGTTGGGTTTTTTGTTTGTTTGTTTTCTTAAGGGAAAAGAGTCTGGGATGACTAAAACCCATTCGCTGCACAGCAGAGGGATGGATTCTATGACCTGCTCCCTTCAGAGTCCATCTTAAGGTAATTAAAAATACACTATTAAATCTACTTCATCTGGACACTATTCCGGCACAAAATACCAGTTCACCAAGCAACTGTACTTAATTTTGTGCATACAGCAAGCACACGAAACAGCTTGGCAGGGACTAACATTTGTTGGAATAGCAGAGGTGGTAGTGACCTTCAACCATACTTATTCATTCCAGGACAACAGGCAGGAAGCAGCTATTCATCCAAAAAGTTTATTAATCCTGCCTATTTTTAAAAGTTAAAATGTATTCAAATATCTCTTCTGCCTTCCAAACTGCTCATCTGAACCTTCAAAAGGCTGCCTGATTACTGTGAATTAAAGCGCACGCCACCCGTGACCCTGAGGCTCCTCACTTACTTCAGTATGCCGATCTTCAGCTGGAGCCCGTGCAGGACTTCTGTGACACCACAGACATCAGCAAGCAGGTGGTGTGTGGAAACTATCTTTTTGGCATTGAGATGAGAGTAATTTTCTTTTAAAAACGATAACCCACACATTCTCCCATTATCCAACCAATCCTTATCATACCGGTATTTTGCACTCCACCTCTGACCTGTAGATGAAGGTGACATTAAAAGGACAAAGGATTCCACTTATTCAGATTTCCTTCCACTGCCATCTTATTGACACTATTCAGTAAGCAAGGTGAGCTCTGGTACTAAGAACACACTCAAAAGAAGAGCAAGACGGCGTTCTGAGGAGCTGCTGCTGGGAGAGCCCCTCCAACCTTGGGGTCTCCGGCCTGCTACGGAGAACACACTCCATTAAGATGTGCTCGGGGCAGAGGACACCTGCAGAGGAACCTTGAGTGCACAGCTTTGCATTTCTGATGTGTCTGTCATCTGTCCTGTAGAAAGGCTGAGAGGGCTGGACAGAAACTAGACGGGGTACCTGTTCTCTCACAAACATTTGTTTTGAACTGGACGAAATAGAGTTCTACTTAGGCGAATAAGGACCCCTCTTCAGGATCTCACAGGGTCCTATATAATCCTACCAATGTCAATACTATGTCTATTAAATTAATTGCTTATGTGTCTGTGACCCCTACTATACTGAGACAGTGGAAGGCATGCTTAGAATCAATCATCCTACCTCTTACCAGCATTTGGCAAACAGAAGGCATCTACTAAAGGCTGCTGAATGAATAAACAAATGTCTACATTCATTTGGGTCTGAATCATTCTGCTTCCTAATGTTACTTTTTTTTAAGTTAGACAAGAGGAGAACCTGACAGGCTTTTATTTGAGAATATCTAGTTATTTTCTACCTGGGTAGCTGGAAGTGTATACAATATGCAAAACCTTGCTACTCAAAGAGCCTCCGGCATGGAGGAAGGCACTGGACAGGGAGTCAAAAGGGACAGGTTTTCATCTCAGTTCTGTCATGTCTACTATTATCCTTGTGCACAAGGCATGAAACCCTCCGTGCTCCAGTTGTCTCATCGGTAACATAAAGGGACAGACCGTGATCATCGGAGATCCCATCTAGCTAAAATGAGCTGGATATGCAACACAGTCAGGGACTTTCTTAAAACCACATCATGAGGGGCGCCTGGGTGGCTCAGTCATTAAGTGTCTGCCTTCGGCTCAGGTCATGATCCCAGGGTCCTGGGATCGAGCCCTGCATCGGGCTCCCCGATCAGCCAGAAGCCTGCTTCTCCCTCTCCCACTCCCCCTGCTTGTGTTCCTTCTCTCGCTGTGTCTCTCTCCATCAAATAAATAAATAAATAAATAAAAACAAAACAAAACCCAGGAGTTACATTCAGAATACAGTTCCATTCAAATAGCCACACATAAACCTATTTAGAAATCAACACACAGGGACACACTACGGGGCTAATTCTTCTCCAGGAAAAAGACATATGTAACTCTGTCCTTCCAGTAATGTAGTAGTTACATTAATGAAATGAGGCTAATGTTCTGGCCTAGGTAATTAACACGGAAAATAAAAGTGTAACAAACAATGACAACTATTATAAAATGTCAACACGGAAAAAGAATTTAACCGGTGAAGTAACGGTATCCTACACAGCGGGTACACTACGGAATTGGTACCCAGATCTTCAGGGGCCCGGCCGATAGCACGGGGAGGAGGCTTACCAGGCGGGTCCCTGCAGATGTAGCAGATGTACTGCTCGGGGATGCTCTCCTCCAGCAGCCCCATGCACACGCTGTGCTGCCAGCAGAGACACTCTTCACACTGCCAGAGAACACAGGGGTGCTTACAGTCACAGGTCTGCTCTCCAGACATGACCACTAAACCCCTGCCTTTCAGTTAGCCGTGGCCGTCTCCTGCTGCCACCCACAGCTCCGTTCTTATTCCACACAACGATGCAAGTGCCGATATATGATGAATTTTATATTTGAAAGAGTCGGCTACTTCAAGAACTTCCTCTTGGTGCAGCTATTAAAATGTGCCTCTATAGATTACTTAAATCACACACACACACACACACACACAAAACTATTGCTCTCATTTATTTCCCACTAAATTTTAGGCAACTACATCCTTAAAATAGCTTATGAAAGTATGGACATTTTTTTTAAAAAAAGACACGTTCATAGGAGTGCCTGTAGCAGTGACTTCTTAAAGTATTACCTGTGTGGTGACCCTATAAATTTGCAGTTCCCTATCTGAGAAAATCTTTGAAAAAGGGGAGAAAAACATTACTCTTTCTCATTCCTGTAACTAACATTTCCAAATCTTCCAAATGTCATCATAAAACGTGGGTTATGCTTTTTTCTTAGATACCCTTCCTACAGGGAGAGGCGGTTCGTGATGCTTAATCCTTGCAACAATTTTTGACACTAGTGGAAACGTTAATTTCCACATCTGCCTGTTTAAAGGCTACAAACAACAGGGATCCAGGCCAGTAAGAGAAGGGCTGCTATGCTCTACCCTTCAATGTGGATGCTCGCCCACCCTAATGGCTTCGAAGAATGGATTCCAGAATTTCAGCTTGAAGACCTCAAACTCAACACTCTCGTATAGGGAGGGGGATCCTTAGGTGAGAGAGCAGTCTACTTCATTTGAAGAGATATTCTCATCATTACTGCTGGGATTTTAAACGTGAGAAGCAAGAGACCTGTCTTCAATAGGACCATGAGTGACAAAAGAACACGGAAGCCCTGATGTACTTGCTTAGCACCTGAAATAATTATTTGCTACAACAGGGAAGACTAGTTACCTGGATCATGAAGCCGTTCTCCTCATCCATTTCACAAATACACCGCACAATCTCATTAAGAGCATCGTCTTCATCCTGAGATTCCTCAAAATTGGTTGAATCAAAGTCCTGATTGTACTCATCCCCACTGAGAAGCAAACTCTCTGTTGAAGAATCATCTAGGAATTCCACATCTGATAAGTCTAGAATAGACACAAAAGTATACTCAGCATTTATTTTCCTATGTTTGTGTCATTTTTCCAGATAGAAAGGAGCTAAAGGAAGTGATTATAAGCTATTAGGTATTTAGAAAGGAAGGCCAAACAAATGGGATTAGAGTAGGTCTCTGAACAAAAAAACAAATGATTTTTGAAGCTTACTAGGTAGTTATGACTGACTTTATATCTTAAGATCTACACTATTACAAGTAGCTTGGAAAGTATCCCTTAGTCTTGGTGCTTATCGAGGTTATGGCTAAGGTTGATAATAATTCAAATTTGCATAGTTTTCAAATGCTTTCACAAACGTTAGTCCTTTTCATCCTCCCCAGAATCAGGGGTCGTAAAAATAACAGATTTTATTCTTTGTACCACAGCCAAGGCACTTCCGCGAAAGGAAGGAGACTGCCTGGAGTCTAACACCAATACTACTATTCTTAACGGTGTCAGTATCTTCAGCCACCAGTGCACTCACTATGTGGCAGGTAGTACACTAAGCACTTCAAATAGAGGACCGATTATTTGCTCGAGTAGTGCGGCCAGCTAATGGTAAAGCTGACTGCGTAGCAGGACTACCTGACTCCAGAGCCTACGTTCTCGATAATGTCACCACTATTCCTTAAATTGAGATCAGAAGTTCCCCAAGGAATTTACAAATTTTCAAAATTTCACTTTGATTAAAATCTTCTAAAAATAAGTATATTCTAGAAACTAGATCGTAGGGATGACCACTACATATACGTCAACTTAAATGCCAGGTTTTAGGTTTGTATTTGTAGCAGTGTTGATGTCAAAGATGACAATTTAGCCCAGGCCATTGAGAAAAAAAAAATCAAGGCAAACGCAAGGAAATATTTATTTACGACAAATGACAGGACACTAAGTTTCGGCAGGAGTGTGGATGGAGGAAGGCGGGAGCCGCATGGTCGAAGACCTGCCAGCTTCTGTGAGGCACCTGGAGGCCAATCCGCAGAGCACCTGAGTGACAGAGGCAGCTCCTTCTGCCTCAGTGTCTCAGCCTCTAGCCACAGTCTGTGCCACTCCTTCACCTGCTCCTTACTCACCTCCCTCTGTAGGGTATCAACAGGCCGAGGCAGGAAGGGCTCTGTACTGCTGAACGTTCCATAGCCAGTGCTTAGAATGAAGCCTGCGATACATAGTAAGCCGCTCCAGAACGCTTCTGGAGGAGCCAAGGAGGAAGTCCATAGCCAGAGAAAATTCTCTTTTCAGACGATCAGACCACAAAGAAGTTGACCAAATGCAAACTAAAAAAACTCATGCTGTTTATATTTTAAGTATTTCAAGACTTAATGCTTCTTCTACCAGCTTCTAATCTGATTTTTTTCCTGTTTTTGAATGTTTTATTTTTGCCTTATGAAAAGTTAATGTTTTACAGGAAAATAAACATTTTCTTTCCTTTAGGGTCTTAGGACATCTTGGAGAAAGTGAGGTCAGTAGAAATGGTATTAGAGAAATACAGGAAAACTTTCAAGGTGTAAACAATTAGGCATTATAAAATCCTTCTAATAATAGTATGAGGAAATTATTGAGGGGAAAATATGAGGGGAAATTTCATTCATTCATCATCTTACTATCTTAAATCCAAAATTAGTATTTTCTCTTGGGCCTTCCAGAATGCAAGTTCAATGTTTCAAAATGGCACACTAGAACACGAATAAACAGTTTCAAACATTGTTGCAGCATTTATGTGGCTTTATATGGATGGCAATCATAACAGAATTAATAAATTTAAAACTATTACCATTAAAGGAATTAGTGTGTGTCTCACATATGCTTTCATGGCCAAAATAAGCAGGTTTTAAGGTGTTAGAATGCAAATTTAACATATTGGCCAGAAAACCTAGTTTGAATAACTAATTCCCAAGCATCAAATAAATGCTTGGCTGAATTCTAGGGGCTGAGTAAATGGGTCCGTAGGTTCAAAGTTAAAAAGAAAAGCAAATAAAAGTTCCCTCTCCTACCGAAATACCACATGGAAAATTGCTCCAACTGAGTGGCCACGGGAACACCATTCTCTTCCAACTGTTACCCCTTGAACTATCATTGCTATTTTCCCAGACACATTCTCTAAGTGTGGATTCCAGATCAGCATCACCTGCAAACTCATTAGGCATCAGGCATTCTGAGGATGAGGCCCAGAAAGGTGTTTTAACAAGCTTTCCAGGTGGTTCTGATGCATGCTAACACTTGAGAACCTCTGGCTGAAGACCTGCGCCCTGTATCAACACCTGTCCTTTCTCCCAGCTCAGAGCTCAGTCACACACGGGGCAGGACGGGGGGGCACACACCCAGGACACCCCTGCCGCCCCCTCTCACACATCTAGTTGTCCAGCGGCACTACCAGCCAGATATCCCCTCCGTTCTCCAGCACTCTGTGTAAAGTGATGACTTTCTGACCTCGCTGCCTCCACCAGGAGGGTCCTGACGTGATTGTCAACCCAAAGAAGCACTCAGAAACTCCATCTACCCTCCTGGAAATCTCATTCGTGCTCTGCAGCACCTCTGGATTGGTCATTCCAAAGCATCACAGAGACAGTTTTCACGGACACCTGGGGTGAAGAGCCACTGGCCCAAAAGGGAACACAGGACCTGTGCTTGTTAGAAAAGGAATTTTTTCCTCCCTCTCGTCAGTGTTTGAAAATGGTCAATCTCAAAAGTGCCATGTGCTTATTTTAGGAGAAAGGGAAGATGACGCTTTTCCCCACAGTAGGCTAGACAGGAGTTGGGCCTGGAAGAATGCAAATGGTAACCGTGCAAACGAAAACACACCACCTAGGACCTACCATGTCGGGCCCTCAGAAGAAAGGAGAAGGCCGGAATGAGCTCAGCCGTCAGTATCCCTGGGGTTTTACATAAGATGAAGACCCCGTCCCTTAGTCTAGTCTCCAGCCACTGCCATCAGGGTCTGCATGGGGAGAGTCTCCCCCCACTGCTGAGAGCCCCGGAAGGTGAGCGTGCTCAACCCCACAGCCGCCAGGACGGCCTGCAGGGCAACCTGACAGATTCCGAATCTGCCCGTAAAACACCCATAATCAGTACATAGGAGACACTAGGAGCTTCCTCACCATCTGTCCCACAGTTAATGATAAAAGCCAATTTTACTTTATAGAAGTTAAAGTAGCTCAACTATCTAATGCTGAGATGTTCATATTAATTTACGGGATAACTTCTTAAATGGTGTAAACAGATAAGCCCTCACTGAAGTATGTTTCCAGCTCAGTTCCCCATTTAAGAATCTTAAGACTCGTTTAAGCATTACATGATTACACATACTTTCACCACTAAGATCAACTGACAAAATTGCCCTTGGGTACTGATATGTTGTATTTTTCTCCGTGAACATGCTTCGCAGAGCCAGAGAATTCCCAGAAGATCGAGTTAGTGGAGAAGAGCACCTTTCCAGAAATTCTAGAGAACTGTCTTCATAGTCTGAATAGTCTGTAACATAAGATACATAAAGAAGTATTAATAAAGTGTCAGGTCATCAGGAAGAGTCACTTTATAAAAACTAACAAGAAAGTTACATTTTACAAGACATAAAATAACCATGCCCCCTCTTCCCTTACCCACAAACAGCTAGATGGCGGTGTATCTGATAAAGTGGGCTGGGCAAGAACACCTGGGGAACTGTACCCCAGCAGTACACACATACCACCAGGGAGCACCATGTTCTAGCTGGTACCAAAAACTCTTGTTAGCCAGTCCAGACGTGAAAAAGGATTCTCTCTACAGTCTCTCTCCATTATAATCACAGCTGTTTACAGTAAGATTTGCAAGATGGAAATTAACTTTGTTTTTGCAATTTGTAAAGAGGTGCTCATAATGTGTAGCATGTCAATCATTACACTGATAATTCAATTGATACATTTTTCTTTTTATTTTTTTAAAGATTATTTATTTATTTTGAGAGAGCGAGAATGAGAGAGAGAGAGAGAGAGAGAGAACATGAGTGGGGGAGGGTCAGAGGGAGAAGCAGGCTCCTCGCTGAGCAGGGAGCCCGATGCGGGACTCGATCCCAGGACTCCGGGATCATGGCCTGAGCCAAAGGCAGTCGCTTAACCAACTGAGCCACCCAGGCGCCCCAACTGATACATTTTTCAGCAAAAAACATCTGAATGAAATTAATTGGTCCTCCTGAAAAAAAAATTAATCCAAGTCCTGTCTTCCTCAGCTTAGCATGAGTCCTGCAGATGGAGGACAGGGAGGAGCCACCTGCAGCTTCCAGGAGAGCAGGGTGTGATGACAGGGACAGACAGGAGAGGCCAGGATTCGGGGCCCTGGGAAGGCTCTGGAGCAGAGGAGAGCCTGGCGCATCTGACAATCTGAGACCGAGGCTACAGCACAGTAAGGGAGAGAGAGAAGAAATGAGGCTAGAGGGGCAGGAGCGGATCTGGTTAAACACGTCCTTATTTTTGAGTTTTATCCTAAATGCGGCAAAAAGAGCGTGACCCAAGTCTGATTCCGGTTTTCAAAGCCTACAGGAGCTATGGAATGAGGAAGGGGGCAGGGAGGTGCAGGCAGGAGGTGCCACGGCCTGGCCTGGGAGGAAGGCAGCCGGCCTGAAGGCTGACAGGCAGATGCAGCGACCCGCAGATCTGAAGACTGGCGTCAGCAGGGCAGTTTCCAGGCTTCTGCTTGAACTACCAAGAGGCAGAAAGAGGGGCTCTGAGATGGAGCTGAAGAGTAAGAGGGAGGAGAAACCAGAGAAGGAATGCGGGTCTGAAGGAGACTGATGGATTATTTTATTTAAAGATTTTATTTATTTTAGAAAGAGAAAGAGAGCCCGGGAAGGGGGTGGGGGGAGGCGCAGAGAAGTTGGGAGAGGAAGAGGGAGAGTCCCTGCTGAGCTCAGGGCCCCACTTGGGGCTCAATCCCAGGACCCTGAGATCATGACCTGATCTGAAACCAACAGTAGGACACTCAACAGACTGAGCCACCCAGGCACCCCCAGAGGAAGGCTTTTTAAAGATGGGCGATCCTATACTTCGTCTACAAAAATCTAAAAATGAGGGGAGGCAGGTTGACAAATGCCAGGATTTTAAGAACAGAAAGACAACTGCCTCCATTATTGTAGAGGCAAAGCAGGAGATGATGGATATACATAGCTAAGCACATAGTTGTGGAAAGATGAGCAAGTTCTCAGCTGGTGGCTTCTATTTCCTCAACTGAGTAAGAGGCAAAGGACACCTGAGGCAAGTTAGGGAATAGAAAGAGGTGGAAAAGACTGGAAGACGTGCAGGAAAGGTCAAGAGTAGGAAAGCAAGTTTCCAGGAGAGCAGTACCAATGCTGGTGTGCAGTGAGTATTCATCTAAAGTCGGTGGTTGCGGTGGACAAAACAATGGTCCCCAAAGACGTCCACAACCTAATCCTCAGAACCTGTGACTGCGTTAGGTTCTGTAGCAAAGGGGAATTAAGGTTGCTAATCTGCTGACCTCAAAATTATCCTGGATTATCTGGGTGGGCCCAAAGTAATCACAAGAGTCTCTAAAGGCGCAAGAGAAAGTCAGAAGAGTCAGTGTTGGAGTGATGTGAAGTGAGAAAGACTTGAGTGGCCGCTGCTGGCTTTGAAGATGGTGAGGACATGTGCCAAGACACGCAGAAGCCTCTAGAAGCTGGGAAAGGCAAGAAAATGGATTCTCCCCTAGAGCCTCCCAAAAGGAGTCCAGTCCTGCTGACACCTTCGTTTCAGCCCATCGAAACCCATGTTGGACTTGTGACCTTCAGAACTTGAAGATAATAAATTTAGGTTGTTTTAAGTCACTGATATGTAGTATTCTGTGACGGCCGCCAACTGGACACTACCACAGCACTCACCGCTGAATACTACAGCCCGGCCACATCTCCTGGGCGCCCTCTGTGTGCTAACCATGATTCTAAGTGCTCTAATCCTCACAGTTAATACAATAAGGAAGCTACAACTGCTAGTGCCATTTTACAAGTGGAAGAACAGAGACAGAAAAGGTTAAACTGCCCAAGAAGACATAGCTATCTTTACAAAGCCAGCCTTCAAACCCAGAGAGCCCGACTACAGAGCCTCTTAACCAAAACACGTTACCAGTGGATTTCAACACAAACTGGAAAGCTCGTTAAAGCAGATTCCTGGGCCTCACCACCAGCAGGTCAGGAGTGGGGACCCTCCCGGATGCTGCGGATGGTATGAGACTGCAGAGCGATCCTGGAGTAGCACGGGGCTACTGTGTCTCTCCTGGCCCCAGTCTCTACACAGCTTGCCCCATGCCCTGTCACTTGGGCACAGGCATGGAAAGGGCATCTGCTGAATGCTAGCTAGCACTGTATTAAGTAATTACAATGATTACCTGATTGAATCCTAAAAATAAAGCCACATAGCAGAAACTATTATTACCATTTTATACGTGAGGAAACTGACATTTACACAATTTAAATAACTCACCAAAGGGCACCCAAGCTATAAGCTTTGCAGTGAAGATCTGAACCCAACGCTCCGCTTTGAAAGCTGCCCTTTTATCGATGACGTGCTATATTGCCCTCTCAGCAAAGTAAATGCACAAGTACAGCCTGAGTGTAAGAATAATGGTGCAAGTCTCAATTACGTGTGACAAATAAAACAGGCTGCTATTATATAAGCTCTCTACGGGGTATTAGCAACAGAACAGAACTCGGCACTCTGCACCACACCTGCATTCCCCATGCCAGTCCCTGGGGCTACTGGGAATAAAGGTCCGCTGCTGGCTTCAGGGTTAGATCAACTGTAATCCGCCACATGAAGCCCCTTCCTTGATCACTCCAGCTTCTCTACACTACAGACAGAACTTACTTTGTATCACCGTTACCTTCCCAGTAAATATTTGCGTGTGCTTCTTATCACTCTTACGATATGCTGATAAGGCTTGCCTACAAGCCCCTGGAAGGGAGTGTCTGTTTTCACAGCACAATGTTCTAGATTCTCCTTGAATTTCTCATTCTAGTTCTTTTAAATCTCTGTATGCCTTCGTTTTTTTAATATTTACAGACACAGGAAAGACAAAGAGATGACGTGACTGGCTCAACGGGACAAAGGGAAAAACTGGCAAAGATGTCACTCAGATCCCAACATGGCCGTTTCTCGTACGGACAACCGTCAGAACTTACTACGCCAGTAGAGACAAGTAAAACCTGCTAGAGGGAAGAATGCACAATCTAGCAAACACTCTCTAAGGCCCAGGAAGTAACAGAACAGAGCATGATGGTTCAAGCTACAACTAAGACTGAAGCCAGACTGCCTAGGTTTGAATCTGCTTTTCACCACTCAACAGCCGTGTGAGCTTGGACGACTCTATTTGTTTCCGTTCACGGCTTCTAAAATGGGTATAAGAGGCTCCACTATTAAGCATTAATTAATGTGAAGATGAAATAAACCACTGTATATAAAATGCCTACAGCACGTTTGGTACATAATAAGCACCAGCAGGATATGCAAAATAACAGTCAGTGTTAAGAAAGAACTTTTAAAACTCCCTGGTGATAGTAACTGTAGAATAAAATGCATATTATATTAGGAACCTCAAGTAGGAATAATGTGAATGTTTTAAAATTAAGATGTCTTTAAAATTTTAAAGTTATTTAAAACCCCCTATTTCCAGCTTAAAGACCCCTCTTCTATTTTAATCTGGAAAAGTGTCACTTCCAAGATGAATATAAATAACCCAGAATAAATTCTCAAATGTAATAATTAATTGCAAAGATGCCTGTGATTACCCAACTCCACACCTGCTGTGTATAAAAAGCAATGCTTCTGTGCATCTTTAAGTATTTGCTAGGATTCTATTTACAAAGTTAAGATTTTCATGTATAGGTCTGATTTTAAAATGTAAACAAGATATAAAGTTCTTTTCAATTAAAAAATAAAAATATATTAACATGTTTTAAAGGGTTAATGGCTCTTTAAAAGTAGGGGTAGCGTAATTGCAGAACACAACTCTGAGGTGCCAATTTTCTTGGTAACTTTTTCTCTCAGTCTTACTAATCTGGATCGCCCTCTTTCTTCCAAGTCACCAACCACCACCTCCTGCATTCTCAACGCTCTCTTACTGTGCCACCAAGTGTGGCCCACTCCTCATCTGTTCTTGGTCAGCACCTCCCTGTTACCTTCCCTCCGCGTGCAGGGGATCTTAGCACACTCCGATTTGGTGTCTGCTGGTGAGTCCTGGAGTAGACCTTTGTGCTGCCGCAGCAGAAAGGAACCTGAACAGCCCGCCCTTCCTGCCCTGAGTCCTGGCCCGCCCCGCTGCGGTACCCGAGTCCACCAAATCCCCTCAGCCTCTGGTCACTCGGGAGTTCACCTGGCAGTTTTACCTGTGGTTTGAAGCTTCTCAAGTCTGCATGATGATACACTCTCACAGGAGGGTATTCACAAATCAAATGTGTTTGTGATTAATGGTTTTTGTTCACAATGCTCCAGAGTTTCCTGACTTTAGGTTCTCTGGAGTCTGGGCCCCATGAGGCTGTGTGTGAAGGGACGGGGTGAGGGGAGAACGGACAAGGGGCAATGCAGGCACACGAGTGCACAGGTATGTTCAAGACATTCTCTGGAAAGTAGTTTCAAGCCTTTCAATCCTCTGTTTGACCCTACGTCAAA